TATCAATAGACGCTGAAAAAGCATTCAACAAAATCCAGCATCCATTTCTGATAAAAAACGCTCAGAAATATGGGAATAGAGGAATCATATCTCAACATAATAAAGCCATATATGAAAGATCTACAGCCAACATCATACTCAATGGGCAAAAATTAAAAGCATTTCCCTTAAGAACAGCAACAAGGCAAGGATGCCCACTTTCGCCACTCTTATTTAACATAGGACTGGAAATCTTAGCCACAGCAATCAGACAAAAATAAATAAATAAATAAAAGGGATCCAAATGGGAAAGGAGGAAGTAAAACTGTCATTATTCACAGATGACATGATACTATATTTAGAAAACCTGAAAGACTCCATGAAAAATTTACTAGACTTAATAAATGAATTTGGCAAAGTAGCAGGATACAAAATTAACATCAAGAAATCAATGGCATTCTTATACACCAATGATGAACTCACAGAAAGAGAAACTAAGAAAACAATCCCATTTACCATTGCGGCAAAAAATTAAGATACCTAGGCATAAATTTAACCAAAGAAATGAAGGACCTATTCACAGAAAACTACAAGTCATTGAAAAAAAAACAAATAGAGGAAGATATAAAAAAGTGGAAGTACATACCTTGTTAATGGATTGGAAGAATTAACATCATTAAAATGTCCATAATACCCAAACTAATCTATAGATTCAATGGAATCCCCATCAAAATACTAACGACATACTTCACAGAACTAAAACAAATACTTCAAAGGTTCATATGGAACCAAAAAAGACCCCACCTAGCCACAACAATCTTGAAAAAGAAGAACAAAGTTGGAGGGATCACATTACCAGATTTCAGGTTATACTACAAAGCCACTGTAATCAAAACAGCCTGGTACTGGCACAAGAACAGACATATAGACCAGTGAAACAGAACAGAGAACCCGGAAATGGACCCAAGGCAATATGCTCAATTAATATTTGACAAAGGTGGCAAGAGCATACAGTGGAGCAAAGACAGCCTCTTTAGTAAATGGTGTAGGGAAAATTGGACAGCTACATGCAAAACAATGAAACTAGACCATCAACTTACACCATACACAATAATAAACTCGAAATGGATAAAAGACTTAAATGTGACTCAGGAATCCATTAAAATCCTTCACGAAACTAGGCAACAAAATTTCAGATATCATATGCAGCAGAATTTTCACTGATACATCTCCTAAGGCAACAGAAACAAAGGAGAAAATGAACACATGGGACTACATCAAACTCAAATGCTTCTGTAAAGCAAAAGAAACAATCATCAGAATGGAAAGGCAACCCACTAAATGGGAGAACATCATTGCCAATGACATATCAGATAAGGGGTTAATTTCCAATATATATAGAGTGCTCATACAACTCAACAAAAGGAAGACAAAGAACCCAATTAAAAAATGGGCAGAGGAGATGAATAGAACACCTCTCCAAACAGGACATACAAATGGCCAAGAAACATATGAAGAAGTGCTCAACATCACTAATCATCAGAGAGATGCAAATTAAAACAACAATGAGGTATCACCTCACACCTGTCAGAATGGCCGCCATCAACAAATCATGAAACAACAAGTGTTGGCGAGGGTGTGGAGAAAAGGGGACCCTAATACACTGCTGGTGGGAATGCAGACTGGTGCAGCCACTATGGAAAACAATATGGTGTTACCTCAAAAAATTCTAAATTGAACTTCCATTTGACCCAGTGATCCCACTTCTAGGAATATACCCTAAGAAGCCTGAAACACCAATCAGGAAGAATATATGTACCTCCATGTTCATAGCAGCACTATTTACAATAGCTAAGATCTGGAAACAGCCCAAGTGTCCATCAGTAGACGAATGGATAAAAAAGCTGTGGTACATATACACAATGGAGTACTATGCAGCGGTAAGAAAGAAAGATCTCTTATCCTTTGAGACGACATGGAGGGACCTGGAAAGTATTATCCTAAGCGAAACAAGCCAAACAGAGAAAGACAAGTATCATATGATCTCATTTATTTGTGGAATATAATGAAAATAACAGTCTGATGAATGGGGTCGTCCCAGAGACGTGGAAGTGGAGTATAGACTGACAATCCCCAGAAGTGGGGGGGTGGGAGAGAGATAAACCACAGAACTTATATGCATGTATGCATGAACAATGGACATGGACAACAAAGCTGGGGACAGGGCAGGGAGGAAGGGAGAGGGTGGAATCAGTGGGGCATAAAGGAGAAACATCGCCCTCTTATAACAAAAATAAATTAATTAAGTAAAAAAAAATTTTAAAAAAAGAAGCCTGAAACACCAATCAGAAAGAGTATATGTACCTCCATGTTCGTAGCAGCACTATTTACAATAGCTAAGAACTGGAAACAGCCCAAGTGTCCATCAATAGTCCAATGGTTAAAAAAGTTTTCATACATATACACAATGGAGTACTATGCAGCTGTAAGAAAGATCTCTTTTCCTTTGAGACGACATAGAGGGACCTGGAAAGTATTATCCAAAGCGAAACAAGCCAAGCAGAAAAAGACAAATACCACATGGTATCACTCATTTGTGAAATATAATAAACATAACAGTCTGAGGAATAGAGTAGACCCAGAGAAGTGAAAGTAGGGTACAGACTGACAACCCTCAGAAGAGGGGTTAGTGAGGGGAGAGAAGAAATAAACCATAGAACTTACATGCATGTACACATAACCAATGGACATGAACAACAAAGCCGGTGACCGGGTAGGGGGGATGGGGAGGAGGGTGTCAACGGGGTGAAAAAGGAGAAACATCTGTATCGAAAATAAAATTAAATATAAAAATAAATACAGGTGTATGTGACAGGGTTGGCGCTATAATGTACTTATGCAGACCAGGCACACATGTGTAGAGAGCAGCTACTTTGTAGAACGTAGCTACTTTGTTAAAAGTAGCTACTGAGTTAAAGGCAGCAGTATTGGAGGTAAAACGACACTTCATGAATTATAATTAATGGATAAATGTAAAATCATCAACCACTGCTATATATATATATATATGTACCATGGGAACTTAATCTGGATGCTGATCAGTCTTTTTATATTCAGCTGTGGTTGATGTGAATACTGCCCCCTTGTGATAGTATCAGGTATGTAAACAAAACAACACAGAGAATGGTAAATCATAGGAAACTTTAATGAACTGTATTGACTAAACTATGCCATGTATCATTTTTTGTATTACTAAAGCTATTGTTTTATATTATTTTCATCAGCAAACCATCCCATGACAATAGATCCTGTACAGAAGAACATTAAGAAAAGAAAATATAGTGAGGACTTTTTATAGTATGCTTTTACCTCAATAATTACAGCTGGAATGGGAAACCACAATGTGTTATTTGTTGTGAAGTTCTATCAGCCAAATCTATGAAGTCGAACAAACTAATATGCCATTTTGATAGCAAACATCCGAGCTTTGCTGGCAAGGATACCAACTATTATCGAAGCAAATCTGATGGACTCAAAAAAGCCAGACTTGACACTGGTAGCACGTACCACAAAGAAAATGTAGCAGCCGTTGAAGCTTCATATTTGGTGGCACTCAGAATTGCCAGAGCTATGAAAACTCACACCATTGCTTAGGATTTACTGTTGACAGTGGTCAAAGACATTGCTCGAGTTATGATCAAAGACGAATTTATTACGAAATAGAGTGCAATTTCCTCATCTAACGACACTGATCGCAGAAGAATAGATGACATTTCTGCTGATATTCTTGATCAGGGAATCCAGTAAATTAAATCTGCTCTACTTCCAATATTTAGCATCCAGCTTGATGAATCTACAGACGTTACAAACTGTTCACAGTTACTGGTTTACATGAGGTATATTAATGATGGCAACTTTAAAGATGAGTTTCTTTTTTGCAAGTCTCTTGAAACGACTACTACACATGATGTACTTGACACAGTTGGTTCATTGCTGAAAGAGCATAAGATCTCTTGGGAAAACGTTTGTGGTGTTTGCACAGATGGTGCTCCAGCTATGCTAGGATGTTGATCTGGATTTCAACGTTTGGTACTGAATGAGTCACCAAAAGTCATTGGAACTCACTGTATGATTCTTCGGTAAATATCAGCAACAAAGACGCTGCCACAAGAGTTATAAGAAGTAATGAAAAGCATCATAAGTTCCATTAATTTTGTAAAGGTGAGCACTTTAAAGAGTCAACTGTTTTCGCAACTGTGCAACGAGTTAGATGCACCGAACAATGCTCTGCTATTTCACACTGAAGTGAGATGGTTGTCAACAGGAAGTTTTAAAACGTGTTTTTGAGCTTTGTGATGAACTGACAACGTATTTTAATCAGAGAGCAAGACCGCAATTCGAAGAATTTTTCAGCAGTAAACGTGAGCTGCAGATAATAGCTTACTTGGTTGACATCTCTGCCATCTTGAATGAGTTAAATTTATCACTGCAAGGACCGAATGCAACATGCCTCAATTTGTCTGAAAAGATCGGATCATTCCAAATGAAACTTCAGCTTTGGCAAAAAAAATTGGATGAAAATAAAATGTATATGCTGCCTACCTTATTTGTTTTCATTGAGGAACATGACATTGAACCAGACAAAAGGATTACAATGATAATTTCTGTGAAAGAACACTCGCACATGCTTGCAGACAAAATTTCATCATACTTTCCAAATCTACCTGACACCCCATTTGCACTTGCCAGAAGCCCATTCAGTCAAAGTTGAAGATGTTCCTGAGACAGCACAAGAGGAGTTCACTGAACTTATTAACAGCAATGCAGCGAGAACTGATTTATCCACAAGTAAATGCCAGTTACAAAATTCTGTATCAAGTGTTTGCAGTCATATTCTGTTCTGTCTGAGACTGTGTTGTGCCTTCTTCGATTTCCAACATCTTTGTGAAACAGGGTTTTCCAGTTTGTTGATTATCAAGTCTAAATACAGAAGTAGACTTGTTGTGGAAGATGATCTTCATTGTGCTCTTGCAAAGACTGCCCAGAGAATTTCTGATCTGGTGAGAAAGAAGCAATCTCAACCTTCACACTGACGCACTGACGTTGGCTTTTTACGCATACTGTCACAAAATGTAGCAATGTAGTTTACTGTTGTTATATTAAGACTGTTATCCATGCTACACCATGCTTTAAGACAAAATTTCATTCATTTGTAATTAGAAATAAATATGTCACAATATATAATTACATATTGTTTTTGTGATTAATCACTATGCTTTAATTCTGTTCAATATGTAACAATGAAAATACATCCTGCATATCAGATATTTACATTACGATTCATAACAGTAGCAAAATTACAGTTATGAAGTAGCAACAAAAATAATTTTATGGTTGGGGGTCACAACATGAGGAACTGTATTAAAGGGTTGCGACATTAGAAAGGTTGAGAACCACTGCCCTAGACACATGTGGCTATTGAGTTCTGGAAACATGGTTGGTACAAGACAACAACTGAATTTTTAGATTATTTCATTTTAATTTTTATTTAAATTTAAATAGACAGGTGGCTCATGGACAGTTTACAGCTAGATAATTTTTAAAACTTCAAAATAAGTGAATATTCAACCCACATGTTAAATTCTAGGAGAGCAAAATTTCTTATGTTTATAAATAAAAAGCCTATAAAAATAATGCACTATCTTATGCTGGGTATGAACCACACCCTCCAAAAACAATAAAACACTCTTACAGTCTATAGTTGTTTACAGCTAGTAGCTTACATATTTACAATCCTTACTACCTACTACGAAAAGCACTGAGAATGAAAATAAAGTTTATCATTAAATACTAGAATCAATGGAGAGTGAACTAAGATCCTCCCAGCTAGGTAGAGGGCTTGGATGTCTTCCTCCCATTATAGTGCCATTTCCACAATGTTCAATATAATTTATGCTTAGTATCTGCTTTATTTTTATTATTTGAAAAACATGTTATCTCAGAACAGAAATCATCATTACCCTCTATTTCTAAACCTTGATAAAGCTTAGAGCTCATAGAAAAGACATGTAACCAACTTATTTTAAATGTTAAGTACTAAAGTCTTTTATGAACTTGGTCAGTTCCTAGCTAAAACATGACACTTGCTAATATTTTAGAGTTGTTAAGTATAGGAAACTCAAGTGATTTTTTTTTTTTTCAATTTAAAAGATTGGTAGAAGTAGGTTGGTGATATACAAATGGTACAATAAATTAATGTAATTTATATAACCCCAATAGTTTTCTTTTTGGCTATTTGTTATGCCTACCATGAATGCATGAGACAGAATCTCAATGCAGTCGTGGTTTGGTGGCTTTCCTTTAGCAAGCCCCTTCCCCCAGTACTTTCTGTCTCCCTTACCTGTAAACTCTGTCAACCCACGATCACGAATAACAGGGGCATAACATATTATTTCTTGAATTAACAAAGCAATGCCACTTTATTATTGTAGATTCTCAAATAACCCTCTTGTCTTTGTCCTAAACTTTCCATTTCTTAAGAACTATAAGTCAGGATGCTAACAATTAATCTTATTAGTTATTTAAAAGCATTTTCATTAACATATAAATCACTAATTTTTTAGATGAACCAATGCTTTTAAATGAATCAAAACATTTAAGTAGACTATAATAAAAAACAAGCATGCAGTTTTGCCCATACTTCCTAGAAGTCAGCCACAGACATACAAGATGGTTTAGCAGCTGACTACAAAAGATTAAGAGATTTAAGCATATTTAAACATACTATCCTGATCTGTTCTCCCAAAACCCTAAAAATGTTTTCATCATTAAAAATGATATCCTTCCCAGAAATATGCCTCATAAATCAAAATTCTTCCCCTTTGTAGACCTCAGGAATGCCTTTGCCTGACTACTTTTAAAATACCCTAGAAAGTACCTGAATCTAAACTGTTCTTTGAAATTTCAACACACCACACTTTTTTAATGAGGGAAGAGTTATACACTTAAAATGAGATCATCTCAAGTATTACTGATTGTTAAGGACATATCTATTTCTGAACCTATATATCAGACTTTTAATTTCATTTGCTATTTTCGCAAAGTTAAAAATGACACATCACCAATTCTAAAGGGTATATTATAGTGAAAAGTCATTCTCCCAATCCAGAGCCAAGCCACCCAGTTCCCTTTCCCAGAAGCAATAAAGGTAAAATAAAATTCTACTATAATCAAAAATTTTTGTGCAGATGGAAGCACATATATTTTCCCCACTTGAGTACTAATATTTACATATTTTATATAAGCACTGTTCTGTAACTTGCTTCAGAGTCTAGGTGTCCCCAACATCCTTTCTCCTCTCCTCCTCTGTTACTACAACCCCTAAATTTAATTACACACATATTTACATAGAATAATTACTGGGATTTCCAGCCATCTTTGCAGGTGTGGTATAGTGAATAAGTTCTGGCCAACCGGATATAAGGAAAGCACATGCTCTGCTTCAAACCCTTCTCTCCCTAGCTGGAATCACCAAGCAGAGGATAGAGTAGGGAAGCCCAAGTTCCTGGAACAGTGGTATTCCAGAGCAGGCAGAAACTGACCACCTATGAGAATTCTTTTACGAGATAAAGTGTTCTTCCAAAAATAAAAAAATAAAAGAGAGAGAGCTAACGAAATAATCATTAACAATAACAAAATGATAAAGAGAAGGGGGGAAAAATCTAGCTGTCATCCTACCTAACATTTTAGAGAAGATATAAGAATTTACACGTTACTCTACCCTATCTCCCTCACTCCAATTGTCAATTAATATATATTTTATTTATATCACAACAAAATCAGTATAAAAAATTTTAGGCATTATCAGTCTCAAACCTGGATTTCTCATCCTCTCTGGACCTATTACTTACTCTGCATTCTTTTTGTTTTTTTCTTTATTGATTTTAGAGGGAGAGAAAGTGAGAAGGAGAGAGAGCTAGAAACATCAACGACACTCAACCACTGAGCCACACCAGCTGGACTTACTCTGTATTCAGTGTATGGGCTCGATTCTAATGAACAAGGAAACTCATTCAAGAAACTAGCAAGGAACCTTAAGTACCATTACTTTCAAATAAACTGTTGAAAATGATTTGCTACTGAAAAATATTCTCACAGAACTACACTGTTGAAATCAAACTAGATAATTTAGTAATAGTAATTCAAGTGCTGGCAGCTAATATTGGAGCTCTTGATATGTACCAGTCACTATTTGAAGCAAAAAAAAATGTATACACACTTTAAACAGCTGATAATTCCCTTACTTCTCCTTTCCAGGTTTAACTGATTTGAAATAATGGGTGAAGGCAGACAAAGCTTTGAACAAAAAAAAATGTATCCACTAGACTTTTTTATGGAGATACATAAAAGATCAAGTTAATGGTATAAAACGGGCAACAGTCGAAGAGTTAAGGGCAGCTATTGAAAGGGAACGTGCACAAACACCAAACGAAATGATTCCTGGTGTTTGTTATTCCATTGTTTCCTATTAAGAGCAGTGCCTGGGCCAGAACGGACATCAGTTTGAAAAGACGTGTTAACAAAACAATGTTCGTAGATTCTATTATATTTTGAAAATAAAATATATTTTAATAACAACTGGCTTTATAATAATTCAAAGTATGTATACATTTTGGGGGTACATCCTATATGTGTTCATTTAATTCTCACAATTACTCCATGAGATAAGGAGACTCCAGGGACAGGAAAACTGAGGCATAGAAAAAATAAATCCTGTGCTCAAGGTCAAAGAGCTACTAACTAGCAGAGGCTGGATTCAAACAGTATGGCTACAGAGCCTCTGAGCAGTAAGTTGTTCAACTAGGGTCGTGCCTAGGAACCTAAAGTCATTTCCAAAAACAGAACCTCCATAAGTAGCTCTTGCTCTTACACTCCTACACACTAGCTCCTTCCACAACTCTACATACACATCAAGCAGAAATGCAACACGTAAGATCACCACTTCCTGCTCCCACCATCCCACAGAAAGATTTAGCTTCAGTTCTTCACCATGTTTTTCTCACTTTGTGTTACTGAAAATATTATTAAAAGTAATCATTGTTCAAAAAGACAGACACATCCACACCAAAACAAAAAGCAACGACAAAAAAAAACAAGTTACCATATTCAAAAGCCACCTGTGGCAGAAAAACTTGATTGCTCCTATATACAAATAATGATACACCAGTTGAGATGAAATGTGGTGTAAATCCGAAAAATGTTAAATGGTTTGTACGCTTTTAATTACATCTCCTTAGTTTACCTGCTGTTGTTATTTTCTCTCTTTGGTATATTTGCCAAAGAATGGCCAAATACAGCTGCAACAAAGCAAATTAGGATGTACTGTCTCAACTGTTTGGCTAGTTTACTACTAACTCTAAAACCTTTATGGTTGATGCATGTAGCCAAATGAACTAATGAATTCTAAATTAGCACACATGCATGTATACACTCACTGCCAACAACAAATTTTTAAAAAGCTGTTGGGTCAAAACAGCTAAGCTATTTTCCAAATAATTTTTTTCCATATCATGTTAAATGTAACATTGTGCAGATGGGGTATAATCAAGTACATTATTTATAAAGCCTCATTTAAATTAGGCACATGAATTAAGTCTTGAATAATCTTTAAAATAATGTATATTTAAAATCTGGAGGTAAGGGGTGTATGAGGTAGAATTTCAGCAGTGAGTTCTTTGAATATATAGCCCAGAGTAATCCTGCAATTTCCCGTGAAAAGCAATAAGTATTATAACCTATTTTTTACCTCATTTGCTTTCTACTCCACAGGGTATATTATTTATCTAGAAGTAGACAGAGACAATCTTACAAGCAATCATTCTCCCTGTCATTTCAGCTGTACACACTTAACTCAAAGTTCCAAAAATATACAGACAGAAAGCCATCTACAACAAAATTATGTAAACCAAACCTCCATGAAGTTGTAAAAGACTGCATGTATTATGCTTGCTATAACCTGGATGCTTGCTATAATATATGCAGTTCAAATTAATAGCTTTGGTAGCAAAGTATGCATTCATTTGCCTTCTACATATTGTTTAAATAATAAATACACAAAAAAAGAGTGAAGGAACAAGCGCCTCATTGGGGGAGAGAAGACAAATTTATGAGTATAAACTCCACTAACAATAATCTGCTTTGAAGTTGACAACTTCTAATATGTAGAAGGCACTTAGATTTATTAAATGAACAATCCTGTAACTAGAGAAACTGTAACATAATAAAGACTTCTCAAAGACAGTGCTTTAAAAAAAACTTTTTAAGTGGTCTGAATATACCCTTCCCGATCTTTATTTATGCAAATATACAAATAGGACAAATCTCTGTATGCAGTTTTACTAATAATCTTTCATTTGGTATATTATTACTGCTTACCATGTCAAAACATATAGATCTACAGAAAATTAACAACTGTACAGCATTTTACTGAACAGCTAAGTCTTTATTTGTTTCTGCTAAAGGGTATCGGTTGTTAATCACGTTTTTATTATTACTACACAATGAACATAATTTGGACAACTTATATTTAAGATCAGTTCCTCACAATCAAATGGAAAGCATACTTTAAAATTTCGATAATCCCACCAAAAAAAATTGAACCAATATAATCTTCCATCAGCAGTGTTCATTTTCAGTTTTGATTATTTTTTCCCCAATATTTATCAGCTCAGTTTATCACTTCCTTCAGGAACTATCAACCTGTTCACAGATTTAAAACAGTTTTTTTCCTAAATGATTTGTCAGGTGCTATTTGTATATAAAATATTTTTATGTATAATATTGCTACAGAATATCTCTTCCCAGTCTGCATTTGCCTATGAATTCTTAGAGAGGTTTTCATATAAAAGGTTTCTCAAAACCAACCACCACTTCCTTTATAATGTATATGTTAGGTTCAGAATTAGAAAATCCCCAACCCCTGACCTGATAAACATTCACCAATCCTTTGAGTGTAAAGAAAAAAAACCTGATTCCATTTCTCTTTCCTGTGCAATTTTTTTACTGGCCCAACATGATTCAGGATCTGTAATTCCCCCCTTTCTCGTGAACTAAAAAACAATATACATACACAGCTGTTTCTGAGATTGATATTCTACACTCAAAAGCTTTCCAACAAATGTACTAAGGATAGGCAGGTAATAGGAGTGCTGAGACAGAGCTAGGCTCAGCCTCTGAGGCTGCCAGGCAAAAAACAGCCAGGGTGCCAAGGTAGCCAGGGTGCCAGGTGTCAGAGCCCTTGCATATGTACCTTCACCAATCTTAAGCGCCTTCAGTATCTCCTGGTAATTAGTATGAACTATCACTTTTCTAAGCATGCCATAATAAAAAGGGTTGAGAAGTACTTCCACTTCAGGCAACCTGGGTGGCCACTCTGCTAAAAATAAAAAAAAAAATGTCAGCCAAAACACAGTGGCAGTGGGAATTACATACATTCTTAGTGTGAAGTTGACCTAGCAAGAAAGTTAGAAAGAATAGGCAGGGGACAACGACTTAGGCAAAGGTAGAGAGTACTGAAGCAATTTTTTGCACTGAGGACATTTGAAAGCTTATGTGAGCCTAAGTGTTGGGTTTAGAGAGACCTCATTCAGGGGACAGAACACAAAGCCTGAGGCCACCCAAGAAGGGAAGTCAAATAAGACACCCTTCCCCCATAACACTGAGACCTCAATGGAGTACACCTTCAATCTAAGTGTAAACTAAAATATAATATAATGATAAACAATTTTTTGAACTTTATTTAAAATTGGTCTTGAAAGGACAAGGAAAATTGCCCATCCCATAATGGCAATTATTGGAGAAGAAAATATCTGGAAATTCTTAACCAAAAGCCTGAATTCACTCACTTGACCTGGGAGAACATTATAAACAAACCTCAGGCAAGAATTTAAGTATACAGAGTCCTCAACTAATAGCAATACAAAGTAGAGACCAAAATCAAGCACAAACATTTCTACAGCTCCAAAAAACTAAGTTCATATTCAGAAAGTCACTAAGCATGGGGGGGGGGGGGGGGAGGCAGAGCAAAAGTGATCGATATATGGGTATACTAAAATGAATGCAATTTTAATCACAGCAAATATAAATGCAATAAATATGCTAGGTAAAAAAAGATATTGAACAGATTTTTAAAGTTGATTTATGTAATCTGTTACACACATCTAAAATATATAATATTAAAAAGACTTCAAGAAAAAAAAAGAAATACTATACAAATATAACCAAAAGAAACTTGGCACTGTACCATATACCATAAATTACAATAAAGATACAGAAATAAAGAGAACTGGTGCATGAATACAAATATTTAGCAACAGAGCTCAGAAAGACACCTTCATATGCATGGAAGCTTGTAACAAATTGAGCAAACAATATCCAAACCAAAAAATGGTGGTGAGCCAATAGGGTATTTCTAAATGAAGGGGGGAAAAAAAGGTGGAGGACATCAATAGATTCCTATTGGGTCTTTCCAAAGGATTAAAGGCCTAAATGTAACAGGCAAAATATTTAAACCATTTAGGGAAAAAAACAGCAAAATGTCTAACACCAGGTTAGAGTAGGATTTCTTTAAAAATAGATTGTTTTTAAAAATGCATGTCATGAAAAAGAAGGTTGACAGATTACTTCTACTTCATCAACATTTGGACCACACTAGTTAGTATAAAGGCAAGTCACAAACTGGGAAAATACACTGTTCATGACAAAGCATTCACATTCAGAATATATAAATCTCCTGAGAATCAAGAAAAAAAACACTCAATTAAATAACTACTGAGGAAAATCTGATTTGCCACTGAGAATTATAAACTGCAAGAATGAGCAACAAAGCAAAACACAATCAAATTTTTTGCTGATTAATAAAGATCAAGGGACACAGAGTTTCATTACCCACTCCTTAGATACTTCACAAGGGCTCAAACTTATTAAACCACTAGAAGGCAACCCTGCTTCAGCCTACCGTAAATATAAATTTTTCCAATATGACTGGAAAGGTTTTTAACTCAGGAATTGAAAGTTAAAGTGTCAAGCAAATTCAAGTATCTCCCATTATTACTGGCTCTTTTAACAATCTCACTAATTTGAACTGTAAAACCAGTTCTAAAAGAGTATTTTACAAAAAAAATCTGAATTTAAAAGGAAACTGCCTTAACACTAAAAACTCATTTAAAATATTTTCATATGAAATTTGACCATCCAAAATATCATTTAGCTTAAGTCTCTAATAAACTCTTATTCAATTTCTATGTTAAATCATCAAAACTACAAAATTGATGGTTACATGTACTCTGCAAAAAATGTCAACAAACTAGTCTCAGGAGAAACCTTAAATCTAGTTTCTACAAACAAAACACATTTAAATTACTAGAACGACATACTTCTTGACATCTCAAATTCTCCAATCTACAGTGAATTATAAGATTTAAAATTCTTAAGTCTTTGGACTTCTGCTTCTAGCCAATATGCAGTGAAATGGACCAAATTTGCTCCTGAATAAAATAACTAAAACCCAGAGAAAATGTATTAAACAAAAGTTTTCAGTCATTGGATATCAGAGAACACATGACAGTAATTCTTGTGAAAGGAAAAACAAAGGATCTGAGCCCTAAAATTATTCAAAGCTTATTACCTAGAAAGACTTTTCAGGCTGCATCACAGGTATGGAGACTTTTCTTGCCCAAATCAAAGCAAGCTGGAATAACGTTGGACAATATCTTTATAGTTACTAAAAGGAAAATAAAGTTGTCAACCTCAAAGTCTATATTCGGCAAAAATACCTTTCAAAAAAAGGTGAATACACTTTTTCAGATTGCAAAAGCTGAAAGCATTCAATACCAGCAAGCCTACAGTCGAAGAAACATTACAAAAAAATTCTCAGGCAAAAGAAAATTATACCAAATGAAAATCTACATGCAGAACACAAAAGATCACCAGAAATGGTAGCTGCACAAGTTATCTTTAAAAGATTTTTCTTGCCATGGCTGGTTTTGCTCAATGGTTAGAGCATCAGCTCACCAAAGGTTCACAGGTTCGATTCCTGATCGCGTACCTGGGTTATAGGTTCGATCCCCTGCCCCATTTGGGGTCATACAGGAGGCAATCAATAGATATGTCTCGTTCACATTGATGTATCTGTCTTTCTGTCTCTTTCTCCTCACCCCTCCCTCCCATTCTATCAAAAAAAAAAAAAATCAATGGAAAACAACCTCAGGTGATGAGTAACAAAAAAATATATATACTCTTCTTACTTTTTAAATATCTCCTTAAAGCACAACTGACCCCAAAAATCTAAGATAACCAAGACAAAAACAAAAATCCTATAATAAGCAAGTTTGGTGAGATCACAGGATACAAGATCAACATACAAAAAAATACATTGTATTTCTATGCACTAACAATGAATGATTGGAAACAAAAATTTTTAAATATTTGATAGCTCCAAAAACATAAACTAGATATAATTCTAACAGTATATGTAGCAGAAGCCATATTCTAAAAACCACAAAACAATGATGAAAAATTCAAAGACCTTGGCAGAGAAATACCATGTTCATAAATTGGTAAACTCAACAGCATTAAGATGAGAACTTCCTTCAATTAATTTATAAATGTAATGCAATTTCAATTTTAATAGATACAGATGAGCTGACTATAAAATTTATGTGTAAAGGTAAAGAAACTAGCATAACCAAAACAATTTTGGAAAAGAAAGTTGGAGGACTCACGTGACCCAATTTTAAGCCTTACTAGGAAACTACAAAAATCAATTAAAACCATGAGGTATTACTACATGCCTATTTGAATTTTTCCAGCTTTATTGAGATGTTATTGACATATAACACTGTGTAAATTAAAGATGTGCAACATGATTTTATACACACACACATATATATATAAATAATAAGCACAATAAGGTTAGGGTAGCACATCCATCCCCTCACAAAGATATTACCTTTTTTTTTTTTTTTTTTTTTTTTTAATCCTCACCCGAGGACATTTTTCCATTTTTTGTTCAGATAAGAGTGGGAGGAAGAGAGAGAAACATCGATGTGAAAGGAACACATCGAGTGGTTGCCACCCGCATAACCCAACCAGGGCCGGGGACAAACTGCAACCGAGATACGTGCCCTTAGCGGGAACCGAACCTGGGTCTCTTTGGACCGCAGGCCAACACTCTAAACGCTGAGCAAAACCAGCCAGGGCTATATTACCATTTTTTAATATGGTGAGAACACTTAAGATTTACTCTCTAAGCACCTTTCAAGTATACAATACATTGTTAACTATAATTACATTAGATTCCCCAGAACTTATACATCTTATAAATGGAAATTTGTACCTAATGACCAACCTCTGCCCTGGCAAATACCAATATACTCTCTCCTTCTGAGAAAGTAGATTGGACTTTATATTACACATATACTAAGATCATACAGTATCTATCTTTCTGTGACTGGTTTATTTCACTTAGCATTATGTCCTCAAGGTTCGTGATATACTAAAATGTGACAATACTAAGCGTTAAATAAGGATGTAGAACAACTGAAACTCTCATACAGTGCTGGTGAGAATGCAAAATGATAAGTCGCTCTGGAACACAATTTGACAATTAAGTACGAAGTTAAATGTACATTTATCACATGACCCAGTAATCCCATTCCAAAGTATTCAACCTAGAGAAGTAAAAACTTATGCTCACACTAAAACCTGCACTAAATTTTTGTAGGAGCTTTACTTATAATTAATGAGAACAGGAAACAATCCAAATACTCTTCATCAGGTAAATGAATAAACTGAGGTACATCTATACAATGGAATTCTATTTAGCAATATTAAGAGAATGAACAAGTGATATATAGCATGGATGAATCTCAAAGGTAAATGCCGATTAAAGAAGCCAGTCTAAAAAGACCACAGTGTATACATTTGTCAAAAGTCAAACACTGAAAACAGGTAAAATTAACTATATATGTAAAGTGTACCTTTATAAAGTTTAATTTTTAAAAAAGATTGCAATGTTTAATAAAAACAATAAAATGCATTGTAGGGTTTATAACATATATAGAAGTAAAATGTCTCACAATACCAAAAAAGAACAGGATGAGAGAATGGTAGTCTATACTACAAGGTCCATACTAGGCATGAGATGGTATAATGTAATTTGAAGGTAGACTAGGATAACTTAAAGTTAAAATTAAAAGACCAGCTGATCACTAGAAGGAGAGTGGACTGAAGGGGAGTCTCCGGGCCCACATGATTGACTGGGGAATGTTCATGTGCAATGAACAAATTATGAAATAAAAAGAAAAACTGCTGAAGAGAAAAGAGATGGCGGCAAAGTGAATGGAAACTACACAGACCGTCTCCCAGGACCAAACTAGAATTACAACTAAAATAAAGACAAATCATCAGGGAAAACCAACTGAAGAGCACCTTAAAGAGAGACGGTACAACCAGGGAGAGAAAGAGGATGCCAAATCGAGCCTGGTAGGAACTGCAGAGGCACCTGGGGGTGGGCTGAAAGCACATGAACAGCAACAAGGGCTATATTAGAATGTGTGCTTCCCGCTGAGAAAGCAGGGCGTTTTGAAAAGCACCAAATGAGCTACAGCCACTCACCTTGGGCTCCTGCAGAGGGAGGGCGGGTGGACTGCACTGGAACTCTGTGGAGAGAGTCTGGGGCCCCTGGCTCAGGAGAGAGCTGGACGGGAGGACACAGGGAGTCTTGTACTGAATCACTCCCTACCAGGACAGTAGCCACCTTACTCAGAGTCCCATCCCAGAGCCCAGGAGAGAAGGACCAGCCCTTTCCACAGGAATTCAACACCACCAGGCCAAGCCACAGAAATGCAGACTGAGGCTAAGCAAGTACCCCACCCATTTGAAATCCTCTGCAGCTGAGGGATTTTTCATTCAGCTGAGGGCTACAAATCCAGGCTCATCAAGTAACTAAGACTAATACCCTCTAGGCAAAAAACTGGCAAATAAATGAACCCTTCCTTCTACCCAGGAAAGAAAAAGTTGACAGTGCCCTCACACTCATCCAAACCCAATAGAGGGAGCCACAACCAGCAGAACACTTAACAACCACAGGGAAAATGTGGCAGGTTCCAAATGTGGTTAGGTTCCACTAAGACAGCCAAAATGCTGAAACAAAGAAACAAATCCCAAGTGAAAGAACAAGATAATCTGAAAGGAGAATAAATGAATGAAATGGAATTGAGCAAGATATGACAGGGAGAGCTCAGAGTAATAATCATGACGAAGTTCAACAGAATGCGTAAAGATATAGAAGCACTGAAAACAAACCAATTGCAAATTAAGAATGACATACCAAAAATAAAGAAGACATTGGAAGGAATGACCAGCAGAGCAAAGGAAGCTGAGAACCCGATTGGTGAATTAGAAGACAGTGTAGAAAAAAACTCACCAAAAAGAAAAAACAATTAAAAACCAAGAAGACAGCCCTGGCAGGTTTGGCTCAGCAGTTGGAGCGTCAACCCTCAGATCACAGTCCCAGGTTCAGTTCCCACTAAGGTCACGTACCTTGGATGCAGTTTATATCTGGCCCCGGTTGGGGTCATGTGGATGGCAACCAGTCACTGTGTTTCTCTCACATAGAAGATTCTCTCTCTCCCTTCCTCCCTCTCTCCCTCCCACCCTATCTGAAGATAAATACAAAACTGTCCTCCAGGTGAGGAAAAACAGAAAACAAAAAACAGGAAGACAACTTAAGAAAACTGTGGTACCAAACCAGCACTCCAAGAAATATCGAAAGAACTACAATAATAAGCAGAAGAAATAGGAAAAGAAACATAATGATAATAAACAAAAATGGCAATAAGTTATATAAATAATAACCTTAAAGGTAAATGAATTAAATGCTCTGATCAAGACACAGAGTAGGTGAATGGATAAGAAAGCATGACTCATATATATCTTGTTTACAAAAGACCCACCTCACAACAAAAAGACTCACATAGGTTGAAAGTGAAGGGATGGAAAAATTTTTTCCAAGCAAATGTAAAGGAAAAATAATGCTGGGATAGCAATAATCATATCCGATAAAATAGACTTCAAAACAAAGGCCATAACTAGATACAAAGAAGGCCACTACATAATATTGAAAGGATCTATCCAACAAGAGGATATAATCTGGATAAACATATATGCACTTAACATAGTAGCACCAAAATACATTTAAAAAGTTCTGGAGGACTTGAAAGGAGAAATCAAATGCAATACAATCTTAACAGGGGACTTCAACACCCTGCTGACATCATTGGATAAATCATCTAAATAAAAAGTTAACAAGGAAACAGATTCTAAATGATGCACTAGATCAAATAGATTTCATGGATATATACAGAACATTACACCCCAAAACGGCAGAATTCACATTCTTCTCAAGGACACATGGGATATTCTCAAGTATCGATCACATGTTAGGACACAAACTAAGCCCCTACAACTTCAAGAAGACTGAAATCATATCAAGCATCTTTTCAGATCACAATGGCATGAACCTAGAAGTCAATTACAACAAAAACACTCTAAAGCATTCTAGCACATGGAGGCTAAGGAGCATGTTATTAAACAACGAATGGGTTACAAAGGAGATCAAGGAAGAAATTAAAAACTTCTTAGAAACCAATGAAAATGAATACAAAACAACACAAAATATATGGGACACAGTGAAAGCAGTCCTGTGGGGAAAATTGGACA